CTCGATAGGCTTCAGGTCTGGACTCTGGGCAGGCCAGTCCATTCGATGAACTCCATTAGCACCATACCAAGCCTTGGTTAACGTCGAAACATGACAACTGGCATTATCGTCCTGAAAGAAACAGGGGTCCAAACTGTAAAACTGCCACAACGTAGGAGGCACATTGTCATCCAAGATAGTGCAGTAGGTATCGGAGTTGAGCTTACCATGAATGGGGACCAAGGGTCCCAGCCCATACCAGGAGAAACACCGCCATACCATAATTGCACCTCCGCCGAACTTGATTGTTGGCACATTGCATTTTGGCAGGAGACTTTCTCCAGGTAGACGCCAGACCCAGACCCTGCCATCCAAACGGTAAAGGGTGAACCTTGATTCGTCACTCCAAAGAACCCGTTTCCACTGATCTACGGTCAAATTTCGATTTGCTCTGCACCACATTAACCGAGCAGCGCGGTTGGACTTTGTGATCAAAGGCTTATGGGCAGCAGCACGACCATGAACACCAAGCAGATGTGCTTCCTTACGGATGCTATTCAGTGAAACAATACTCCCGGATGCCTGTTGAAACTCCTCGCAGATGAGGGCCATCGGTTGGGAGCGATTCTTCCGAATTTCTCTTCACAGAACTCGTTGGTCTCTATCTCCCAGTTTCGTTGGTCTGCCGACTCTGGGCACATTCCGACAATCACTGGCTAGATATGTCCCTCAATGATCGACCACATTTGTGATATCCGATAATTATACCTTTCTCGAAATCAGAGAGCTCCGAACTGCGAGGAAACTTGCATGCGACTAAAGCCGATGCTGTTTCCTACACGATATATACCGGCGGAGGCCGTGGCGTACCTTGGGACCGCAGATATCGTCATTTGCTTAGGTGTCCAAATACTTATTGGTAGTCAGTGTATAGCAATATAAAATATCTGACCTCGTCTTATATTCCGGTTTCGGCTGGAATTACAATTGTACACATACACACACACACGCAAAAACAAATAAACAAACAAAAAAAAAAAAAAAAAACTAGATGTAGCGGAGTCAGGCTATGGCTGAAATTATAGTACTATATGCTATTTCAAGTAAAGCTAGAAATAAAAAGCATTCTGTTTTTTTTAGTAAACCAATTAAAAAATCGGTTAAAGCGTCACTAATAAAAAAATGGAATGTTAAAAATATTATAAAAGAAAATTTTAACGGAGAAATTAGGTGCTTAAAAAAAAGGCAAATTTATAATATTTTCTAATCTTGGTTCTTTCCCGATATAATGACAGCTGTTAAGTAGAAATCGGGACAAGGAAAAAATAATTCTCCGAATCTAAATTAATCCTAAAGGTCTGTACGGAAATTCCTCTTTCCGAAATGTCCACAGAAACTTTTTAACGTGGGAAGTTACTATTAGCGTTGTACATGTTTGTTTAAACCATTAATCTTAGTGTACCGCTGTGTTAGGCCCTTTCTAATTAGGCAGGGCATCTAGGAATATAAACAATAGCTCCTATTCCTTATCTTATTGTCAAAATCGTGGGTATCTGAAATTGTCGCGATGATCAGAGTGATCATCTCTAGAATTTTCGGGAATAACAGCTCTATAATAATACAAAAATACAGTAATAAATACAAAAACACGGTAATTCAAATATACAGTAAAATACATTAATAAATTTATTGCGCTTCCTGGAGAATAAGATATAGACTTGTGGAAGCTTTTTAACCTTAAACGTCTCATCATACAAGGTTGATACTGAAACAAAATGTTATCAGATGCTAGGGAGAAGCATGTCATACAAAAATACAGAACGTGTACAATTTGCTCAGGAAACCAGGAATAGGAACCTATGCACATGTTGATAAAAAAAAAAGTATTGAGTAGCCACAGTCCCGAAGCCATTGTTGGATACGTCATTAAAAGATAACCTCGCGTTATACTTAGGAAAAGTAAGAAAAACTCTTAACCTACCTCGTAGTTGACTATGTTGAAGACTATGTGGCGACATTTAGTTATAGTCCCTGTATAATATTATATAATTTATCCCTATATGTAGCTGTACCTGTACCCGGTCCTTATGTGTAACTTTAACCGTATATACCTTCCGGTAATATTGAAAAATGAAAATGTTTCGGCGACCGGTGAAAAACAATATAGGACCGGAGACAGAAAGAACTGACTTAGGCGTACTGAAAGATCTTCACGCGAGCTTCGTCCTTTAGATGGGCATTGTGTTGCGTTGTGTTGCATTGTGTTGCGTTGTGTATACTGAGAAAAGCTGTACGAGTACTTGTGTGGAAAATTTCAGAATTGTAAAGTGTTTCTTTTGGGAAAACAGATATTATCAAGCTGTCATCTGTTCTATGTGCATTCAATCAATTATAAACCCATACGCACGCGACAGTAGTATTATTCAATGAAATAAGCTTCGATAAACGTGATCAGGGAAAGGTTCGTAATCTTCATCATGCAATACCTTCTATGCTACCATCAAAAAACTTTTATCCTCACATGCCTATATGTATGATAAAATTCTAAATGTTTACTGCACATTTTCCCAAATAAAACATTTGATTTTATTTTTAAAGAACACTCCACAACAAGAGTGCTGAGATTATTTTTTAAAACTCCGCAACTACTTTTAACAAATCTCCGTAACTTGAAATATATGTCCAAAATTATTATTAAAGAAACCAAGTAAATAGTTGCTTTTTTGATGCAATATAAATATAATATACTATTCATAAACATTCATCTGTCTACTTCGTGAACTACTATATTATCCAAGCTTAGTGTGCTTATAGAGGTTCTTTTCTCAATGTAAAGTTTCTTAGAATGAAATATTTCCATAAAGGCACTTAAAATATGCAAACGTTTCAAACCAACTTTGAGGTAAGTGATTTCCACTGGTTAGAATCCAGGCGTATATTTAATACTAGGATGCGAAGTGCATTTGAAATTAATATCATCTTATATCGTACTGAAGGTAAAAGGTGAATTTTCGCTATATCAATATTTTTTCATAGTACAACTTTTGTATGATGAGCAAATGTATTTTTGGAATATCGAATATCAAAGAAGGAAATAGCATTTTGAAAAATCTTACAGTAAAAAGGTTCAAGAATAATTTTGCAATGTTATATGAATAAGAATGCACGAATTTAAAATTGTAACATTGAGAAAGGAATTTCAACTCGCGATTTCTTGCGAAAATTCTCTCAATGAAACAGCATTTGGAAAATTTGTAAGAACCTTTCTCCTAATCCCCACGTCAAATATCCATTTTAGCTTTAGTAAATCTATATTAAACAGCTCTTTCAATACTCCTTGTATATGTCTTGAATGAAATGTAACATATTTACATGGTATTTGTTGACACAAGGATCTGTACTAAATAAAATCTCGTTATTTTTATATACTAATATTTACTAAACTTCAGTGTCTTTCCACCCACTGTCAGCAAGGAGATTTTGTATTTCTCAATCATATAATTTCTTTATAACACATGATAGCCTCGTCACCTGTTGCTTCCGTTTCGAAACCAGAATGTAATGATTTGAATTTCTGATTAGCTAATTGAAATAGTATTGGCTAATTTCTATTGTCAGTGACTCATAACGAGAGTTTTGTAAAATGGACTTCTTTTTCACGGTATCATTATATTTATAGATTTTACTTTCCTTAATTTCATAGAACGAGTGCATGTTTTAGTGGTAATATTTCTTAAATTGCAAGAAATAATCTTAAGGAATGTCTTACTACATAAAAAAACTCGAATTCCGTACATGAATCTGTTGGTATGCAGTGTTGAACAGACGTCAATAGAGCGATAGAAGATGTAATCTAGGTGCGCCATAGAAGAAGTTAACTGAGTGACTCGCTTCTTCCTTCTTCCTTCTCACTCCTTCATATAAGGACCCCCCAGTGTTAAAACTCTCTTAGTAATTCATGAACACCCTTTTGATATATATTATAAATATAAAATTCTAATAAATCTTATTCGATTATTATTATGTCAAAAATAAATGTGTTCGTTTACAATTTTCGTGTAAAACCTCATTTTATGGATTATGGATTAGCTATGATGACGCTGGGCATTACCGATTAGACAATGTAAGAAATTATTCTATTCCTTACTTTTGTAATTTATTTTTAGAAATATTTACAACAGAGTCTGTGGTATGCAGGTCTTTCTTTGATTCCTGAATTGTAAAAAATCAAAACATGGTACTAAATTATCTGCTGAAAGCAGAAAATAATATAGCATTTAACATAACCAGAAAATATAACAAACCAAAATGTTATGCAATTAGTATATACCGAAGATACATGAAAGCGCAACATAGCATTAACGCTGTTGCTTAATACTGTATTGCTGTCATTTCCCAGGAACTCGTGGCATAACTTCGTATAAAGTACCTGCGTGACATTTTCAGTCTCCTAATGGATTCATTTCTATAGCTATTATTGTCTGGTGGAAGTGTCGAACACATAAGCTTTTAGGCACTCCTGTGTCTGCTGTATTCTTTCGAAACTTTTTTCTTCGTTTGGTAACATTTACCGGCTTGTATTCGACATCCAGGATATTTTTTGTTACAGACCTTTTTAAGGAATATTTGAAACTTCACATTTTTACTCATACCAACATTAACATATTTAAAAATGCAATTCAGCGGAAGGTTGCGAATATTTGGATATCTGCTGACGGTTCTAGAAAATTCAACATCGCGTTAAAGCAAATGTAAAAATTATTTCGCTTCTAAGGTACAATAATTTTCTGAAACAAGAGATCGGAAAATTTAACTGCACATCAGACGTTTCCATTTAATATTTTAAAATACAATTTATATACATTAGTGATTTGTTTGCAATACAAGATGCAATGTTCAACTCAGTGTAAATTGAGAAGCAAGTAGGTTGAAGCTTGCGTTTCATAAAACAGCAGAAATTTCAACTTTATAGAAAGAGGACAATATTATGATTTATAGTATCTAATTTATGCAATTAGTACCTTTGAGAGAAGTCCAGTTTCGAAGTCAAGCGTTTGCTTAGGCCATCCACTCTGGACACCGACAGAGGCCGCTAAAACCTTTACGCTGAGTGGAAAAATGACAGAAATACTGCAGTTTGATTTCCTGTTGTAATTCCTCAACGTATATGTCCCCTGTGGTTCTTGGAGTACTGCATTACAAGCTGAAAATAAGCAATAACATTTATTATATTTAAATAACTATCTGGAAAATAATGAAACTACAAAGTGTTTCACTATTTTTCAGTTTGAGCAGTTTTATAAAAAAAGTAAAAAATCTGTCAAAGTTCATATTTGTTTCTTTATTTATCTCCTCATATGCTTCACTTTAATATTGAAAAATGACATCCGGCATATGTCCTCCTCCAGTTTCACGGCAGGCACTTAATCTGTTGAAGTTCCCCACGTTTCGTTCGCAAAAGTCTTTGCTAATTTTGCTAACGATCTGTTGATTTTGCCCCATATTTTGGAAAATATTTGTGGATTTGTTCACTTTCGTCATTACACAAGCCGGTAAAAAGAACTCGCAACCCTGTGAACACAAGATCTCGCAGGTGATTTCTCGTCGACACCACGAAGTAGGATTGTAAGGATCCTAAGTTTTACTAACGTTTATTTTATTTTAAATCTTTACTATCACTTCTTATTTTCTACTTCCGGCCAGAATTAAACGCTTTAACTTATTTATGCAAATTGTCTTGCTAACGCCAAGTACTTAAGTTGTGGCTTTTTGCCAAGCAAGAGAGAGGAAGGAGTTATTGGAAGCAAGCCGCATTCCATTGTAGTTTTACGAGTTTTCACTCTGTTGCTGGTTGCCGTCAAGGCCAGAGGTTTAGCCCTCTCGATAATTGCAGACGTATTGTAGTTTTAGCAGTTCGGCGTACTACATACGTACCTTTCTTTAAATTAAGGCAAATCTTAGTGCTAGGCATTTGTATACTAATTCAAAGTTAGTTTTAGTTAGAGTTTTAGTTAGTAGTTTTTATATTCTTACGTTCAGACCACAAGTGGTTGGTCTCTGTATTCCAAAGTTTCGGAAATTCCTGTAAAGTATAGAAAATAAAGGGTTTCGTATGCCCTTCCTGCTTGTATTGTCTACTTCACAATTTCTTGAACATAGCTTGAGTAAGCTCCCAGTTCCGAGTCAGGACCATTCATGTTCCCAAAGCAAATCAAGAGGAATACAAGTCCTGATAGTGGCGCCCGAAGAAGAATAACCATGGCCGAGTTTCAAGAAGAACCTGAGGTGCCTGCAGCAGCGGCTCAGAATCCAGAAATGCCAGCTGCCGCCCTGGAAGGATTTGGTTACATCGTCCAGACCAGGCGCGCATCGATGAAACCAGAAGCAAGCTTTGATGGAAACTCACCGGTAAGCAGTTTTTTGGAAAAATTGGATGACCACTTCATGCTATATCCAGCCCATGAGTTCCAGAAAGTCACCTTTGATACCAGCGCTTTGAGGGACCAAGCGCTTAATTGGTTCAAATGTATAGGAAGAAACCTTTTGGGTCAACCGGGAAGTCCCCCATATACTTACGAAAATTTTAAGACTGCCTTAATAAAAGCCTTCCCTATCTTAAGAAATCGTGTAAAATTGGAAGCGGAACTCTTCAGCATATACCAGCAACGAATTGAAAATCTCTCAAACTTTATTTTAAGAAAAATACACGTATATAAACTCTTGTATGGAAGCCGGCCGGATCCTGACATAATCCAAGTAATTTTGCCTAAGTTACTTCCCCAAGTACAAAACTTTATTGATTTAAAAAACCCGACTACAATGGAAGAGTTATTTGAGTTAGAAATCCAGTTTGAAAGTAGAACGGCGGACATTGAAAGAAGACGCCAGTATGAGCACGAAAGCCAATTGGTGCGCCAAGACCACAGCAAAAAGAAGAACACGGCTACGGAAGCAAGTCGAATCAGTGGTCAAGGAAACCTGAGTATCCAAAAACAACCGTCGAACGTCGACAGTTGAATAGTAAGCCAGAAAAAATGTCTGAAGGCCAGCGGAAAAAGAAGGAAGGCATGGAAAAGAAGAAAAAAGATTTAAACTAAAACGGATTTCTGCTGACGGGAAGTTGAGGAAATCCGAAGGCTAAGAAAATCCCTCTTCCTTTAAGTTAAATACAGTTATTGTGAAAAATTTGATTCTTCTAAAGACTGAAGTTTTGGTAAACAATATTCCAGCCACTGCACTCCTGGACACAGGCGCGCAGTGTTCCTGTGTGGCAGAAGATAATTCGGATAATACGACAGTATTAGCAGCGCAGGGGGAAAGATGCAAATGCATAGGTAAAATACCACTCCACACTGACTATCAATAAGTATTTGGACACCTATGCAAATGACGATATCTGCGGTCCTAAGGTACGCCACGAACTCCGCCGGTATATATCGTGTAGGAAAAAGCATCGGTTTTAGTTGCATGCAAGACGCCTCGCAGTTCGGAGCTCTCTGATTTCTAGAAAGGTATAATTATCGGGATCACAAATGTGGCCGATCCTTAAGGCACATATCTAGCCAGTGATTGTCGGAATGTGCCCAGAGTCGGCAGACCAACGAAACTGGGAGATAGAGACCAACGAGTGCTGTGAAGAGAAATTCGGAAGAATCGCTTCCAACCGATGGCCCTCATCTGCGAGGAGTTTCAATAGGCATCCGGGAGTATTGTTTCACTTTCTTTCTTTCCACCGACAGCGAGGCAGCCGGTCCACTGGGTAGTTAGCATATCGGCCAGGTAGCCCGCTGACGGAAATAACTTGAACAAAAGACACACTTATAAATACATATTGTGCTCAAGACGACTGCTGGGGTCAGTGCAAACAAATGCTGGACGAAGACGATAGTGCATGATGGAAGAAGGGTGCATTGCGGGCGTGAAGAACAATTCCAGTTACATATTTACAGAGTAATGGATAGGTGGTTACAAATACTAAAAGTAATAAGAAGTAAAAAACTAGAAAGTAAAACAATGCATAAAATAAAAAAAGGCAAAACAGTGGAAACAATACATAAAATAAGGCAAAATACATAGTTCAAGGTTCATAATTCAAGGTTTACAGTTCAGAAGATAAATATATACAGGGAATAAGAAAAGCCGAATAAGCTAACTTAAGATAAAATTAGTTCGCTACAGGTACAGAGCATACAGGGGCTGTGCTGGTGACGAGGATGGTGGCTGAGAATTACTCCAGCCTGTCTGAGATTATGCGTGCAATGTTTATGCAATCGCATATGCGTTTCAATGCATTGCGATTTTTTGAAGTAGCTTCGGCCCATGCATGGATGTGGTTTTGCTACTGGTTGCCTAAGATGATATTTAGCGGTCTCTCTGCAAGCGAACAGATAGTGGTCCGGATCTCCTACCATCCCGCATGAGCAATGCTCGTTTTCGCGTCGTCTGAAGCGATGCAGGTAAGTCATGAAGGGACCATGTCCTGTTAGATACTGAGTGAAGTGAGACGAGCCAGATTTAGAAGGCGGCAGACTTTGGAAAAAAAAATCTGTAAACTCTTCTGCCGGTGGTTTCTGTCTCCCACAGATGTTGCCAACATTAAGTAATTCTCTCTCGAGCTCAGCTTTTAAGAACGAACCCGGAGAGGCACGTCAAGTGTGCGAACGTGGGGGTCAGTTGCTGCTCTTTTGGCTATTGCATCTGCAATTTCATTACCAGTATTCCAGTGTGGGCAGGTACCCCTGGAGTTCAGGCCTATAGTATTTGGTGTTCTTAGTAAGAGTTTTTGTATGGCCCTGACGAGTGGATTTTTACTACATTTGCCTTGGATTGCCTGGAGGCTAGAGGTTGAGTCTGAATATATACTGGAATAGTTATTTTTCCAGTGCGTAGAAAGTGCAGCTTTTAATGCAATCAGTTCAGCCTGAAAAACTGAGTTGTGGTGCTTAGCTTTCTTTCCCAGGTCTTTAAGATCTGGCTCCCAAGTAGAACCAGTATCGCACCGGGTTGCCACATCTCCTTTGGAACCTCGGTTTGTAGATTGCAGCGGCATTGAACCACGTTGGTGACCTGCAGTTAATCGAGATATTGAATTCGGCGGGTGCAAGGTGGCTCGGGAATGCTTTGCTCATAGTCAGTATAAACATAAGTCCTATCCCATAAACTTATTGTCTATTTGAGTCGGAGCACTCGCACTATTGCACTCTCGCGATGAGCTAAGAGATGCAGAGGCGGTAGTCCTGAAATCACGTTTAGAGCATTAGTGGGCGAGGTTTTATATCCTCGGGTAATGCTCAGGAGGAATGGTCTTTGTGCGCACCCCATAGAGGGCTAGCAGCGTTAAAGTCCCCAGCGATTATCTTATTCCTAGTCGGAATCATCATGACTTGTTCCAGCTCCTGGAGTGCAGTGACAATGTCGTGCGAAGGAGGAAAATCACGCTGGTGATGGCATCGACCATAAGGCCCTTCCAGTTGTACAGTAGCTGTGTATCTCCTTTGCATTAGCAGGGGCTTGAGTGGACCATTGTAGGCGATGGCTGCTTGATTGCCTACTGAATGGTAAGTTTTGAAGTTGCTGAATCCTGTGATCCTGTGTTAATGGAATGAAACTGTTGTAGTGCGGCTAGATCTACATTGTTTTCTAGAATACCAGGGCTGCATGGACAGTTGCGGCTTGGCTGCGTTGCAAGTTGCTTTGAAGAACTGCAAAACCATGTACTGTTCTTGGATATGCAACAGCCTGCTGTTCATCTACCACTGCGCCGTTGTTTTCATTCTGGGCAGTTATGCCTTGTAGGCTTGACATTGTCTTATACTTGACGTCTGTGTGGTGTCGAAGCTAGTGCCTTTTGATTTATTGTGAGTTTCGCAATTAACGCAGTGTGGAGTCTTGCTTTGCAGTTATCCTGGCTATGAGCTTGTCCACAGTTTACACAGGCCAACGCTAGGCATCCGTAAGGAACACATCTGCTTGGTTTCATAGTCGTGCTGCTGCCCATAAGCCTCTGATCACAAAGTCCACCGCTGCCGGTTTATGTGGTGCAGAGCAATCGAATTTGACCTAGATCAGTGGAAACGGTCTTTGGAGTGACGAATCAAGTTCACCCTTACCGTTTGGATGGCAGGGTCTGGTCTGGCGTCTACTGGAGAACGTCTCCTGCAGAATGAAATGTGCCAACAGTCAAGTTCGGCGGAGGGCAATTATGGGTATGGGGTTTCCTTGGTATGGGCTGGGACCCTTGGTCCCCATTCATGGTAAGCTCAACTCCGATGCCTACTGCACTATTTTGGATGACATGTGCCTCCTACATTGTGGCTTTTACAGGGTTGTACTTTCCGATAATTCCAGTTGTCATGTTTCGACGTTAACCAAGGCTTGGTATGGTGCTAATGGAGTTTCGAATGGACTGGCCGCCCAGAGTCCAGACCTGAACCCTATCGAAACTTCTGAGACGAGTTGCATCGCGAATTCAGGGGTGCACTACCGTCAAAATCGGTGAAGGAACTTCTATTTTCTCCAAGCCGAGTGGAAAAACTACTGATCTGTCATACAAAGACTTGGAAAGTATGCCCCGAGGGTCCCGCGTAATTTTCTCGTGAGGCTCTACCAACTATTGATTTTAATAAAGTTAGTTTTTCTTTTCATCACGTTTCCAAATACTTTTGGTAGTCAATGTATATTCGCATTAGGTCGAGCAAGTAAAAATCATGTTTTTATCGTAAATTTACAAGCACATGTAATTTTAGGGATAGATTTTCTTTCAGAGGCAGAAGCAACGCGGGATTTAAACCAACGTCCCTTAAGCTGACCCGAAACCAGTTCTCGAAGAAAGAAGAACCAACCCCGTTAAATCTCACACGCCTACGGAGAGCAACAAAAAATTCGCTAAGTGTAGTGAATTTACTTCGTATTAGTGATATCCCGGATTTCTCAAGTGACTACCCATAAACGACACAGGATTCACTGCCAGTTCGCCACAAGCCGTATCGGTAGATAAAATAAAAGAATATTAGAGTGCATTCGAGGAAGTTACGTAAAAAAACAAACGCCCATCTCAATAGTTAGGCTAACCCATTTGGTTATATAAGAAAAATAACGATTTCCAGAACACATCACGAAAAGGTGCGTTTTGCAATTGAATAGTAAACTATCTCCATGACTAAATATCCGGTATACCCGTTCCTATTATTGAAGAAATTTTAAGGAACATACTTACAAAGTACATGACACGTTTGATCTAACGACGGTTATTTCAAAGGTGTAAACCAGAAGATGTGCCTAAACTGCTTTTAGAACAAGTCGGCACTTATGCATTCTTCGTATGCCGTTTGGCCTTTCAGGGCACCGGCAAATTTCAGCGATGTAGGACATTGTGCTAAGGCCTGTTCTACGAAAGAAACTATTATATATAGACTATATCATTATTACTAGTGATAATTGGGATCAAAATATAAAAGATTTAAGAGAGTTGTTTTTCATTATTAAATGAGCCGGTCTAAAAGTTAATGTTGAAAGTCAAATTTGCAGCCCTGAATTAAAATACTTAGGATCCAAAAATCTCAGAAGGAATTGAATGGACAATCAAAAATAATCCTGTTCAAAGTATCCTCCGCCAATACGGCAATAGCTCTTTCTTTTCTAGGACTTTGTTCATATTATAGGTCTTTTATAAAAGATTTTGCAGTTATTGCTGAAGCATTGTTAAAATTAAAAAGGAAAAAGGGAAGATTCACGTGGACGGCCGAAGCCAATCGTGCGTTTGAAAAATTAAAGCAAGCGTTAATGAAAGCCCCTGTTTTGAAATTTCCTGAGAACGATGAGAATTTAGAATGATTAGATGAGATGAGAATTAGAATTTTAACACATAACGAACGGTCACGTAACTTTACGTTTTTCATTCTGATTTCCTTGGACGGGCAACGCAGAATTTTGTTTAAATTTTTATCACCCTACATTAGTTATCTTTTTTTAAACTGCAAGCAAAACAAAATATATATATCAGTTCCATCAAGTTCCATTTCACAAGGGCGTATGTTTTACAAAATATCAAATCGTAAGAAATACTAGGCATAAAAGGAAATAACTTCGCAAATTTTATCAAAAATAGTGTTGATTTAACAGAACTGCAAAGCTTTAAAACCCTGTATGTATATATATATATATATATGGATGGCATCGGCCCTTATCGGATACGCGACAAGCTGTGAGAATAAATCTTTTACTTTTCCGATGATGAATTCAGACGATTTCGCCCTTATACGATTATGCGACTGAAAGATATTTACTGTAAAGTCAGTCATTCTCTCATCTGTATATATATTATGTACTTCATCTTCTACACTTAATCATTTGTATCTGTGCAACTATTTATGTTTCATAATTTCCAGTTATCATAGTCGAATAGTCCTTTCAAGCCCCTAAACCACCTCGAATAGTTACAAACATCCTATTCCTAGCAGAGTACCGATTCAGAGATTGGCGCTCAGCCGGGGGATCCAGAAGAACATGATTAATATTACAAAGAGAGAGTAAGTTTTTTTCGATATTTCCACATGGGCTGAGATGATTATTTTGATACTGTGATTAAGATGACTACCTTAAATTCTATTCCTAGAATTTCAAATTCTTTAAGAGGGCCTACTAAGTCAATTAACTTTTACATCAAGTGTATTTGTAACTTCGGTGTCGAAAATAGCTAATTGCGTACTTTTGGTTTTTCCATCTGATTTTATATGAAGAAACAAACAAAAAAAAAAAAATTCTTAAACTTTTACTGCAATGCTTTTCTTGCTGGTGTAATTTGTTACATCTTAATTATGCTCAAATCCTGATAAAACTGGCTACTGAGATTGAAACTGGTAGTTTGGCGACATTTTGGAGGCGATAAAGGTTAATGGGGACTTTGGTAATAATGTGAGCAGTACTCAGTTCCGATTACGCATTATTTGTGTGGGAAATGAGATCATGGGATATTCATGTGATATAATGGACGAATTCGGTTCTTAATCGGAAAGGGGGAATTTGGAAGATATCTGTGCTGTAATTATTTTGTATTAAGCTTATTGTGGGTTGTGTGAAGTAGGTGATAATTTGGGATTGTATGGCCCTTCTAAGTGAATTCTAGAAATGCTATTCCGAGGCATTGTGAAAAGAGAATTTGCTTTTATTTCGTGGAGGAAGTGGAGAAAATTCACAGAAAAATCGTTCAATTTTATTGAATCCAATAAAATGTATCCACCATGTAACAGATTGAAGAAGATTAGGTAGTTATATTTTTAATTATTTGAGGATTATTTTTATGCATTTTCTAAATGTAAGGTGGAAAAAGAATTGGTATTATTGAAATTGTTATAGCATTTAGTTTAAAGTAATTAGGATTGTAAGCTAATTTTTTAATTAATGTATGTGCTTATTATTTTAAGTAGTGTTTTTGAATTTAATTAATTTAATTAATGATAGTTATTTGTGAATTTTATGTTGTAGGAATTTGGTATCATTTTAGTTGAAGTAAACGTGCAGGAAATAATTAAATTTTTGACACTATGTGTTTGTAATGTTTGCGGTAATGATTTTGTTGGTGACGTTTAATAAATAATAATTAGAGGTAAAGTTTTGGTATTTTATTTTTTATACGTGGAATGTTCATATTTGGAAAGGGTATATACTTTTTCGCTCAGGTAATTCATATATGTTCTTTTTACCGTTTTAAAGATTCAGAAAATTGTATGTATTTCGTGAAATTTTCTAATTTATGAGAAAAGCAGTGTACATGGATAGTGAAGAGTGTGCGCAATGCCATTTTTGTGTAATTCTGGATTTTTTTAGTAAAATAAGCCGACGTGTCCATGGTTTATGTGTAGTGTATTTTGAAAAGCGTAGAGTATGGTATTGTGCACTTTTTCCCAATTTGAGTGAATATTGTCATGATAGCGTTTTGTAAAATGTCTAGCATAAGTGTAATTCGGCTAGTATAGTGTTGGAAGAAGTGTTCAGGATAAAAAGAAAAGAACATGTCTTTACTTCGTGAAGACAAAATGGCGGCGGGGGAAAAAAATAGAGGGTGCTGTAGAGATTTGGTCGCCAAATTTTCGCCAAAAAATCACCAAGTTCCATAATCTAAAGATCACAAAACGGGGATTAATATAGAATAGTCTTTGTGTTGAAGCTTTAAATCCGAAGTGATGACGATTGAGTTATCTGAAACGAACGGGTATTATTCTGATAAAAATGATATATCTGTTCGGTACATCACCCCATAAATAACGCGTGGATAAACATTATAATGCTACATTTTCCTACATTTTCCTGAGACTTAGAAACTGTTTCTGAATTTATGGCACTGATACAAGATCCCTTGATCCTTCATTGGGTTAGAAGAATCTTTTAATTATTTAGTTACGAATTACCGAAATTGTGGTTTGCTAAAAATTGCTTACTGTTTCTGATAATATTTATTAGGTCTTGAAGAGTTAGCAGATGGGACAAATTAAAGAAAATCTTTTATCGATTTGGTTCTAAATAAACATGCACATTTCATAATTTGTTACAGAAACGACACTTGAAACCTGTGATCCCTTTCCGACTAGTTAATTGCCTTGCGGAAGCCATTTGCGGTTCTGTTGATGATTCATCAATTCTTGATGACGTAACAATGGGACCCAATCAGAGTATAAAAAATTGTTGTACGGTTGTAAACTATTTCTGAATCAAGAGAATTTAAATCTATGAAAATTCGCGTTCCAGATACGAAGAAGAGGTTATTCAAGTACTAACACACAAAATAAAGCACGCACTGTACTTAGTAA